ACCGCAGGATCCAGCTGGTTGAAGAGGAGCTGGACCGTGCACAGGACGGCCACTGCCCTGCAGAAGCTGGAGGAAGCTGAGAAAGCTGCCGATGAGAGAGAGAGAAGTATGAAGGTTACTGAAAACTGGCCCTAAATGATGAAGAAAAGATGGAGCTCCAGGAAATCCAGCTTAAAGAAGCTAAGCACATTGGCAAAGAGGTAGACAGGAAGTATGAGGTGGTGGCTCATAAGTTGGTGATTATCAAAGGAGACTTGGAATGCACAGAGGAACAAGCTGAGCTGGCAGAGTCCCGTTGCCGGGAGATGGATGAGCAGATCAGACTGATGGGCCAGAACCTGAAGTGTCTGAGTGCTGCTGAAGAAAAGAACTCGCAAAAAGAAGACAAATACGAGGAAGAAATAAAGATTCTTACTGATAAACTCAAGGAGGTGGAGACCCGCGCGCGCTGAGTTTGCTGAGAGATCAGTAGCCAAAGTGGAAAAGACAACTGATGACTTGGAAGATAAGCTGAAATGCACCAAAGAGGAGCGCCTCTGTACACAAAGGATGCTGGACCAGACTCTGCTTGACCTGAATGAGATGCAGAGCTCCCCAGTCCTGTCCTGCCACTGTTCCTGCCTGTGACCCCAACACACCGCCTGAGGCCAGCCTGCCTGAGGCTGATCTCGAAACTGAGGGCTGATCTTTAACTGGAAGGCTGCTTTCTCCTTTCTACATCCTCTCCTCACCCCCTACCCCCACCTTCTTGTCTTTTTTCATCAAACTGTCTCTGCCTCTTCCCAGAGATTCCAGCTGGGCTAGAGGCTGATCAACTTTGGGAACAACATTTAAGGAAATGTGAGCACAATGCAAAGCATGTTGTGATGTACACATCTGTAATAACTTCTAGGTGTAACAAACCATTTGTAAAACGTTCCAAATAATTGCACAGCTCTAATTCCATTCTCACTTTGTGATCATGTTATCTCCCCTGCCAGGTTAGTATTCCATTCTCACTTTGGAAGGTAACTTTTTAGCCTAATGCATAGTGCTCTCTCCACAGGGGAAGAAAAGAAGTATGGGCATGCCTTACCAAGAGTCAAACAGAGTCCAGGCAAAGACCACCGGGGAGACCTTACAGCTCTGTACCAAGTACCAGCTATGCCAGAAAGGGGATTCCAGAAGGAATTAGTCAAAAATCAAAACCATGCTGCTCAGGTTTTGAGTTTCAACGTGTCTTTGGACAACTTTATTTTTATTTGTTACTTTTCTCATCAGAAGTGAGCAAGGGGCTGGTGAGATGGCTCAGTGGTCTAAAGCACCTACTTAGAACAAGCTTAGCAAAGCACAGGGACTGCGGTTCAATCCCCCAGCACCACATGCCAGCCAGCCCCGCCCCCTGGTGGGCTGAGCTGGCCACACACACACACACAAAATAAATAAATAAATATTTAAAAAAAAAAAAAAAAGAAGAAGTGAGCAAGATATCATAATGGTTAGACCTCTGAGACTGAGGCTTTTTTTTTTTTTTCGCTTTTTGTTTTTGTGGGGGTTTTTTTTTTTTTTTTTTTTTTTTGGTGATGCTGAGATTGAACCCATGGAGGGACTCACGCATATTAGGGAAGAGCTATACCGCTGAGCCATATCCCCAGCCATGAGACCAAATTTTTGTCCTATTTCTACCCCTTTTCTAGCTGCTCACTGAGCAGATCATGTGTCCCTTCCTTACTGCTGAGGTGACCACTTAATTGCTTTCCTGCCTCTTTGAAAGAAAAATGATGTTTTTGCCACTTATTCAGTCATATGAAACTCATCTCACCCTTTTCTAGGTCTGAAGCTTCTGTCTCTAAAAGCACCATCTCATTGTGCTTTGTATCAGTCAGTGCTGGAGAAATCTTGAATAGCTTATGTACAAACCTTTTAAAATTTTATATTATTTTGAAATGTTGCTTCTTTAGGGTTGAAGTGCATGGCTGCTCCATCTGGCTATGAAGAGTTCTCTCCAGTCTGTGGGCTGGTAGTGTGCTGATCTTTTGAAGTTTTTTCCCCACCCAGTCCCCACTTCAGGTGAGGTCTGTTAGGTGCACATCCTGCAGCTTATTGGCTTAAAATGTATGCTCCTTTGTTGTGGTCTCTGGGACCAGTCAGGAAAAAGAAGAACCAGTAGTGCAACTGTTTTGATACTGAATACTGACAAGTGTCTTTTTGAAATAAAGAACCAGTCCCTCTAAACCTCAAAAAAAAAAAGAAAGAAAGAAAGAAAATCTGCTACAGGAGCCGGGGAGATGGCTCAGTGGAATAAGCGCTTCCCTGGCAAGCACAGGGGCCTGAGTTCAATCCCCGGTTCTGGAAAAAAAAAAAAGAAAGAAAGAAAGAAAGAAAGAAAAAGAAAATCTGGCATGAGCACCTGAGTTCAATCCCCGGTTCCACCAAACAAATAATAAAATAAAAAAATTTTAAAAAAAGAAAATCTGCTATAGACTTGGACATATCACAAAAGATATATGAAAGTATCTAAATGCCCAAAAGTAAATGAAAAGACACAATATCAAACCACAGTAAGATATTACTACACATCTATTGCAATGTTTGATATTAAAATGACTAACCATATTAAGTTTTGGAGAGAAAGTGGAGAAAATGAACTTCTATGCACTGATAGTGGGAATGTAAAATATTACTTTGGAAAGTAGGTTGAGAGGTTCTTTTAAAAAACCAACATAGGGGCCGGGGAGATGGCTCAGTAGGATAAGCGCTTGACTGGCAAACGCAAGGATCTGAGTTCAATTCCCGGTTCCGCCATAAAAATAAAAACAAAAATAAATAAAAAACCAACATACAGGAGGCTGGGGAGATGGCTCAGTGGAATAAGCACTTGCCTGGCAAGCACAAGGGCCTGAGTTCAATCCCCGGTTCCACCAAAAAGAAATGTATACAGTACCTACCTTATCCAGTCATTTCTCTCCAAGATTAAACAAGACAAAGGAAAGTATATGCCCAAAAAAAATTGTATGTGAGGGCCCAGGGTTAGCTCAGCCGCGTAAGTGCCTTCCTGGCAAGCGCAAGATTCTCAGTTCAATCCCCAGTACAAAAAAAAAAGTACATGAAAATTTGCAGCAAGATTTGTCGTAAGTAAATGAAAGCAACCCAAATGACTGTCATAAACAACTGACTGCATAAACAAAGTTTGGTATATTCTTAAAACAGGAATACTACTCTGCAATAAAAAGGGAATAAACTAGTAATACATGTTAAAATCAAGAAGAATCTCAAAAATAATTATGCTGACCAAAATAAGCCAAACATACTCCCAAAGAGGATATGTTTCTGCTAGAAAAATTTTAAATAATACAAACTAATTTACAGTGACAGAAAACAGATCAACAGTTGTCCAAGTTGGAATTTCTGCGATATTGTATCATAGATGCAATCATAAGGGCAAGATGATGGAGGAAGAGATAAGGGAAATTAATGTGTTAACCACTGACCTTCCCTCCCCAAAAAAGCTTTTCTCTAACTATGCTTTAAAAAAAAAAAAAAAAAAAAAAAAATGAGTTCGATCCCCGGTTCCGGAAAAAAAAAGGAGGAGGAGGAGGAAGAGGGCCAGGAACCTAGCTCAGTGGCATTAAGAGCCTGTCTAGCAAGTGCAACATCCTAAGTTTGGTCAATGGTACAAAATAATAAATAAATATGGGGCCCAGGAGATAGCTCAGTAGCATAAGTGCCTGCCTCGCAAGCGCAAGGTCCTGAGTTCGAGCCCCAGTACCACAAAAAATAAATAAATGCTGAAAGTTTACCAAGGCCCAGATTGGTGGAAGTTTACAAAAAGAAAAAAAGTCCGATTATCAATCTTATCAATCCAGAAGTAGACGCAACAAACACTTCTGTGTTCTTTTCCTTTCTTTTTCTTTTTTTTTCTTTTTTCTTTTTTTTTGGTCCTGGGGAGTTTAAACCCAGGAGCCTCTCTTATTTTGGGACAGGCTCTTCCTAACAACAAAAACTAGGTCTTATGGGCTGCCTGGGATGTCCTCCTAATCGAAAGCTTTCCCTGCTTTGTGTTACATACTCCGCTTATTTATAGCCAATGTATATCCGTGGCTATACAATTCACGTATTCCTTCTTCAAATTTTCCTGTAAAAAGGTTCTGACAAGCTTGCTTTTCACAGGTGGCCCAACCAACAAATTCAAGCTGCTGCCTAGCCATTCGAAGACGACCTGTGCAGCCGCCGGCTCAGCGCCCGGTGGGCACCTGTGGTCCAAGGCACCCGAAGCCCCACCGGGACCCGAAAGCCACCACCAGCTCCTGTCCAGGTGACGTTAGGGACGGCGCGCCACTTTCATTCTGCACCCACCGCATCCATCCACAGCCTGGTCCCTTTTCACCCAGCACCTGTAACAGCTCAATAAACCTTATCATTTCAAAGAACTCTGCGTCTTAGAAGTTTGGGTCTAACAAGTGTGATGCGGTTCGGGGTGTTCCCTAGGTTACACGTCTGACCTAAGCTGACCTGTGCACGTGAAAGTTCACTGTATGCCAACCCCAAACTCGAAAACTCCATAATAAAAGTCATTTAAAAACAAGTACTCCGACTCCCAGCCTCGGAGTCGGCCCGTTTCACCGAAACCCCCCTTGGCTTTCTTTCATCTCGAGCCCCACACTCGCCTCCTCCCCGTCTCTTCTCGTTCCGAAAGGAAGGAACCTTCCCAAAAGGTTCACAAATTCCTAATTAAGCTTCAAAGTACTCTCCCTCGCAGTCCTGTCCTCAGTTCCCGCCACAGAAGCCTCCGTCTGCCCCCTGTAGACGACACTCGGCGCTACCGGAACCGTGACGAGTCCCCATCCACTCCCTCCCGTTCGTGTTCCCAAACACTCATCCACCAAATAACCTCCGGCCGCGCACCTTCGTCCCGAAACACGGCTAACGGGCACCGAACCTGCCCAAGCCGCGTTCCGCTGCCGGCCCACCCCCCGGGCCCGCCGGAGTGCGGGGATTCGAACACGCCGCTCCCTGGTTACCTGCCACCGGCTGGCCGCGACGCGGACAGTTCAGCCACCGCGGGGGGATTTTGTTGTGAGCCATGTTTCAGGCCCGCGCGGAGCCGACCTGGGCAGCCGCCGCCTCAGCGTCCGGTGGGCACCAGTGGTCCGAGGCACCCGAAGCCCCACCAGAACCCGAAAGCCACCAGCTCCTATCCGGGTGACGTTAGGAGCGGCGCGCCACTTTCATTCTACATCCACTGCTCAAGACTAACCCACAATGCACCGCAACTTCCGCCCCTGAAGGCCCCGCCCCCTCCTTTCCGAGGTCAGAGGGGAAGAAACGCAAGTTCAGAGGAGCGAGAGCACGAGAGCGAAAGCCCCGGCTAGTGGGGCGGGGCTGGCCTTGCTTGGCCCCGCCCCTCCCGCCCTGTTCCCGCCCCACTACGATTTTTTTTAAAGTTCGCCGTGCGCATGCGCGGCTGTTTCTCTTTTGGAGCTAGGCTGGGTAAGGTTTTTTTTCCCATCTAACCGATGTAGAGAAGTCTTCCAAAATTGTAGGAAAGTTAGCATCTGAGCGAGCTTGGGTTTTTCTGCTGCTTGTTTCTTTTGTTTTTTTTTTCTTGAGACGGGGTCTTGCTACCCAGTTCAGGCTGGTACACAGTGATCCTCCTGATTCAGCCTCCCGAGTGCTAGCTTTACTGGAGTGCGCCACCACGCCCCCTTGTCCACGGCTTTGTTAAAGGCTTCAGCCTTAGTGATAAAAGGGGCCTTCCCACTGCTTGGTGTCCCGGTCAGACCTGGGTTTCGTTCGGTATTTGAAAAAATTCTAATGAGGATCAGGGGGACAAATTTTAGAGAAATTCTAAGAACAAAATATCATGGTACCAGCAATGAAAAATTTCTCTTGGAGGGCACTGCTGGGGACACATTAGTCCACTAACCCATTAAGTATCTGAAATTAATTCCAAAACATCTTAGAGTTTGATTTGTACATTTCTACAGTCCAGGTTTGAAATATGTTTGGGACAGGGCCAGGGAGATGGCTCAGTGGAATAAGCGCAAGGGTCTGAGTTCAATCCCTGGTCCCACCAAAAAAAAAAAAAAAAAGATATTAAATATAAATCTGAATGATGGTTAATAAACTATAACAGCACTTTGGCTTTAAGAACCATTCCAGGGGCTGGTGAGATGGCTCAGTGGTCTAAAGCACCTACTTAGAACAAGCTTAGCAAAGCACAGGGACCACGGTTCAATGCCCCAGCACCACATGCCAGCCAGCCCCGCCCCCTGGTGGGCTGAGCTGGCCACACACACATAATTAAATGAAATTTAAAAAAAAAAAAAAAAGAACCATTCCAAATTTTTGAACTGCAAGAGTATGAGACTTTAGAGAATATGTTTAAAGTATCAGCAGGAATTTTCTGAGCAGCTCAGTTCTGAATGCCTGGACTCTCTCAGTAAGAGGATTCTTCTATAAATAGATAAAGCCCACTAGCTATCTCTTTGTGTTACCTCACATTCTTGGCCTATCTCAGAGTTATGTTTCCTCAGACTTTTAGTGAAAGTGTGAACTGACAAGTCAAGACCCAGTTTCTTGGGCTGGTGAGATGGCTCAGTGGTCTAACCGCGGTTCAATCCCCAGCACCACATGCCAGCCAGCCCCACCCCCTGGTGGGCTGAGCTGGCCACACACACACACACACACACACACAAATAAATAAATAAATAAATAATTAAAAGAAAAAAAAGACCCAGTTTCTTTACAGACCTACAACCTGCCCAAATAACACCCAATTAATTCCTTCCTTTGCTGGTGGAGAAGTGTGTGCCATGCCCAAAATGATAAAATATTTGATCCCCGAGCCTCCATCAAGGATGGCATCTCAGCTTTACCTCCTGGGACAACTCCCTCAGACACTGCCTTCCTACATGAGCAGGAAGAGCGAGGGGTTGGCAAATTCCACAGCCTGAGATTCATTACTCAGCTTGAGGCAGACCTCGATTCAACACAACAGAGAAGGACTCTTACGGACTACAAGGCATTTTTAGAAGGTTTTTTGGTGGGCTTTCAAGAGGATGGTTGGAAAAACAGTGGCCAATATGTCCTTTCTATCCTCTGTAACCTACGGACATCTCATCAGGGACACCTTGTGGCCTGCTGCTGCATCCTTTGTGACCTAAGTAAAATGGAACTCCGATTCTCTGAGATGGCAGGTGGAGGTGTTGCTGCCTGGGATCTACCACTGTGTACACCATACCTCACCAGGAGTAGGAGTCCTAAGCCAAGGGAGTCGCTGTTCCTGGCTGTAAGGCAGTAGTATGTGTTTAATTTTTACTCCGCTCTCCAGCTAAGCTCCCTCCGTCCTTGGTGCCACAAGCTGGGGGAGGGCCCTGTGGCTCCCATTTGCCCACAGTAGAGGATAGAATGAGAAGGCCGCTTCCAAGGAAGCAGGAGTTTCTCTCTCCCTACGGAAATCCCTTGTCTCATGGCTGTTTCTGCCCACGTGGCTCCTAGTCTCAGGTCTCTTCCTGGGTGAGTAGAAAAGCAAATGCCCATAGAGTACCAGCCTGGCTCCTCCCTAGATTCCTAGAACCCTCAATTCACCCATCCAGATAGGTCTCAGTCTCCTCCTTATTAGTTGTAGGATCTCTTCATGGGTGAATTCTTCCATAGAAAATCCATTTACCCAGGCTGGGGAGATGGCTCAGTGGTCTAAAGCACCTACTTAGAACAAGCTTAGCAAAGCACAAGAACCGCGGTTCAATCCCCCAGCACCACATGCCAGCCAGCCCCGCCCCCTGGTGGGCTGAGCTGGCGCCACACACACACACACACACACACACACATAAATAAATGAATAAAATTTAAAAAAGAAAATCCATTTACCCATAAGAAAGAGAAGGATGAATAAAAATAATTATCCTGCTAATGAAAGAAAAAAAAACTTTGCTTAGAGCAATTCTTTTGAGAAAATTTGTATTCATAAAATGTGTGTAAGTCTTCTAAAAGCTGAATGAACATCTTGCCCTTTTCACAAGCTAGGGCCTGAGCTCAGTCTCTGAAATGCAAACATCAGGGAAGGTCTTGCTTCTCCCTGTCACCTTGGAAATTTAGCCCACCCTTTTAACCCTGAGGAACCATGTTCCAGGCTGTAATCACCTGTTTGTGTAAGAGATAAGGAAGGCTTTCTCTTGCCTGTAGATAACAGTAATTAACTGGCCCAAGTGGTCACTCTAATCACCTAGAAAACAGGACAAGTTCTGTTTATCTTGAGAATATTTAGGTAAAGGATTGTATATGCTTGGATATGGGAAAAGGAGATTGATTTCTCTCTCCCAAACTGCATTAACAGATTGCCTGTAGGATTTAATATTTGTTCAAGAATGAAACACTTCTCTTCCTTTTGCATGAAAGAGGAAAAGTATCTTGTCTAGGTTGCTGGGTTTATTCCCAGTTTTCCCCCAGGTGCTGTTCATGTCCCCCCTCAAAGTAATCGCAGTAGTGTGTCCCCCACTGATTCTTAACAGTGTCCTCCAAGCTTTGCTGGGAGCTCAGTTTCAAGTTCCAAGCACCTCTAGAACAGTTGCCTAGGGGCTAACCTTGTTTATTCTCCTCACCAAGTTCCTAAGGCAGTGATGGTGAACCTAAAATTTTCAATGATAAAACATCCCAGGATAGCACACAGCACACGGGCCACAGGGTCACCACCACTGCCCTAGGGTGCGCAGAGGATGCTCCCAACTGGATCCCAAAGCCAGGGAAGTGTCAGAGAAGGACAACAACATTTCAAAATCAATCCTCATCTTCCTTAGCTGAAGGGCACTTACCCGGTGACACTTGCACCTCATCCCCTTTTCCATACTAGTGGCCCAGCACCTCCACCTCCTGCCTGCACTGCCCCAGCCTCAGAGCTCGAGTTGGGTTCAATATGGAGCAGAAAGGAACAAGAATCACATGTCACACAGAGGTCACATTCTAAACTCAAGCTATTAGACAAAAGAAAACAAATTCAGAAGTACCCTCCATTGTTTCTTCCTTGGAGCCCTGCAGTCATTGACTGGCATTCAGGGCCCTGTTGTAAAAGAAAAAAGTAATCTTTGAATAAACTGATGCTTTTCATAGAATTTGCTCTTCTCCAAAAGATGTTTCACATCCTGCTCCAGGGCACAAACTCCTGGAGAAGAACAATAGGTTTTTTGTTTGTTTTGCGGAACCAGGGATTGAACTCAGGCCCTTGTGTTTGTCAGGCACCCACTTATTCTACTGAACCATCTCCCTGGCCCAGGAGAAAAACAATAGGCAATCTGTCCTACCTAACGGCCCAGGCACAAGTCTTCCCATGAGGCATGTGCTGTTACCATTTGCCTGCACCTCCGAGGATAATTTTCACTATGCTAATAAACTAAAGGTAACTACAAGTTACTTTAGTGACTGCACATACGTCTACCCCTTGCCACCTGGATTTTGCCCCTTATCATCAGGGAAGACGCCTAAATGGGTCTGGAGCAGCACCTGTCATTCTCTTGTCTCTCTGGGCTTGAGCTTAAGGCTCTTGTTTTCTCAGCCAGATGGTCTCTGAAGGCTGAGCTGATTTAGCCTCTTGTCTCTGGGAGAGTTGCCTTAATTTCACAACCTTGAAGACTCGTCCACTTTTTCATTGGCTTGATTTTTTGTTTTTTTGAGACAGGCTGATCCTGAACTCTCTGTGCAGCCCAGGCTGGCTTCAAACTCATGGTGAACCTCATGCCTCAGTGTCCTGGTACCAGGATTACAGGCATGCAGCACCACATCCAACCAGGCCACTTTTTAATCCATCTGCCTCAACCTCCAAGGTCACTGAGATTACAAATTGCACCAGTGTTCAGTTTATGCCCTTAGTCTTACAAAGGGCTGTTACCCCACAACTGAGTTATAAAAATTCAAGCCTAGGTGGCGACCTAGCACAGTGGTTCCTGTGCCGGGCTCTATAGCGCGAGGTCGCCGGTTTGTGCCCCCGTCCTGACTCTTTTGGGCTGGGGAAATGGCTCAGTGGAATAAGTGCTTCTCTGGCAAGCGCAAGGGCCTGAGTTCAATCCCCGGTTCCGCAAAAAAAAAAAAAAAAAAAAAAAAAAAAAAAAAAAAAATTCAAGCCTATTATGAGTTGAATTGAGTCCACCCCAAAAGGAATGTTGAAGACTACCCCTGATATCTCAGAATGGGATTGTATTTAGAAACAGAGTCTGAACATAAGTAAGCAACAGTTAAAATTAGGTCATTAGGGTCTGGCA